ACCCAATCTCTCAAACTGCAAGAATTCTTGTGGGAATGTCTGCGTCTAATCACTCTGATTCCTATCACCAAATCCTGACTTCAATCACTTTCCACCTTCCCTCGTGCATTAAATGCTTATTCGTGGTCAGTGGGTTTGCTACCATAAACAGAGGCATTGCTTCATTAAATGAAGCGTGGGACCCTGCTGCCACTTGATGAACTGACCTTAGTGCTTTTGGCCGTGATTTTGTTCGGCCTCGGCCTCGGCCTATAGTCAAGGCCGAGATGATCATGCCTTCACAACTTTTCCTTTGCTTTTTAGGAAGGCCAGACATCTTGGCGAAACGCCGCGTTTTAGCCTCACGAGCGAGTGTTAGGGCCGAGAAAAAGGGCTCCTTCGGTCAGTTCTTGGCCGTGGTTTATTAGGCACAAACAGAAGCAAGCACCACAGGCTTGGTTTGATACGTTCTCTGATTATCTCTTACAACTTGGCTTTCAAGAGTCTAAGTGTGATTACAACCAGCAAGGTGTCCATTTAATTTTACTTATTTATGTTGATGATATTTTGTTCACCGGCAATGATCGAGTCCAAGTTTCTCATCTCATTCGTCGTTTGAGTACTCTTTTCTCTATGAAAGATTTGGGAAAACTTCACTATTTTTTGGGAATTGAAGTTACCTAAGCTGGTTACTTTATGCATCTACGCTCTTGATCTTCTTCAACGTACTAAATTTATGGATGCAAAGCCAATTTCTACACCAGTTTCTAGTGGGCAAAAATTGAGTGCTTATGTTGGTGAACCGCATACTGATCTTGAGACCTACAGAAGCATTGTGGGCGCCTTGCAGTATCTAACAATCACTTGCCCAGATTTATCTTATGTTGTAAACCAAGTTTGCCAATTATGCATTCTCTGAAGTCTCCTCATTGGCTAGCAGTCAAGCGCATCCTGCGTTATCTTAAATCCTCTTATGATTATGGTATTGTTTACAAGCCCGGCAGTTTGCAAGTTAATGCTTTCTCGGATGCAGACTATGCCGGTGATCCGGATTCTCGACACTCAACCAGTGGATACTGTGTATATGTTGGTGCCAATTTGGTGTCATGAAGCTCTAAAAAGCAGAGAACAGTATCCCGATCAAGCACAGAGGCTGAGTACTGTCAACTGGCGTATACTGCTGCTGAATTGTCATGGCTTCACTCGTTGTTTCGTGATTTGCAATTGCCCTTATCCAGACCCACTATTTGGTGCGATAACATCTCCTCGATTGCTCTTGCTTCCAATCATGAGTTTCACTCTCGAACCAAACATCTTGAGGTGGACTATCATTATGTTAGGGAAAAGGTCATTCGAGGTGAGCTTACTGTTAATTTTTTTTGTTCTCTAGACTAGTTGGCTAACTTGTTTCCTAAAGGCTTGTCCTCTGCTCATTTCAAATTGTTGGTGTCCAAACTTCCAGTTGTGTCTCGTGCTGTAAGCTTGCAGGGGGATGTTAGTCAGAGGCTATCCTTTGATTTGAATTGAAACTCATGATATTGTTTGTACGTTTGAAAGTTTGAAAGTATGTTGTATTTTTATTTTAAATTCTGATACAAGGATTGCCTTATCAAGAAGGAGTCCTATCTTATCTATGTAACTGAGCTCTTGTAATTTGTTTATAAATACAACTCTCCATCACACTGATGGATCATTCAGCCAAACCTACTTTCATGAGTGAACGTAAATCTTACATGGTATCAGAGCAAGGCTTCACGTGTTGGGCCTAACAGCCACACGTGCTCCCACGTCATCCAATATGTGTTGTCCATGTGTTAGGTTTGAAAGTTCGCCACAAGTGCGGGGCCGTGTTGAGAGTATTTGTCCCACATTGAAACGTTAAGGGACCAAGCCTGGGTTTATAAGGAGTTGAGCTACTTCCCCATTGCCAATTACAGACGGCTATATCAGTATTTGCACAACAGTTATGGAGAACAAATGTCGCTGACATCCTTGATTTAATGTTCAAGTTTCATATAAACACGCAAATGCAATTAAAATCCAGATAATAATCACCACATTGAAACAAACTCCTTGAGCTAATTTTTGTTCCCGACGAATACTAGTACGTGATTAGTCTGAACAAGCGATATTTAAAGCCAAAAGTTATTACAAAAAGCAGCAATATTCTGTTGCTGATGTTATTACAAAAAACATCACCACTCATCATTCAATTAAGTGTGATAAGTTCCTGTTTTCTTGAAGGTACTTGTATCAGGAACCCTTAAGTAAATTTTTTAATTGCAAAGAATAGACCGTAAAGTGATAAGTTCCTCTAGATACATTTTCTACCTTACTTATTATGAGTCTTATGTGGACGATTGTGGATCTTGAAGGTATTGTACAGCAGTCCATGTATACATGTTAGAGAAATAGAATGTAAAATTGATAGTTGATTCTTTTAGAGGCATTCGATACATTAGTTGTCTTAAGAATCATATTTCAAAGTTTTATGCAAGCTTTTGAAAGTTTTGTTCGAAATTAGATGATGGGGACAGGGCTCCACTCTTTTTCCATTTGACTTAAATGATGTGAATGAGTTGCATATATGCATAAAATGCTTGATGGCGGCCCAAGGGTAGAATGAATGGATATCATTATGTATTAAAGAGAGAACATATAGTTCAAATTTAAGTACGATCGCAAAATTCTGTTTAGTTTTGGACTGATGGGGCCTTCTCTGTGCATTTGCTAAACCACTGTCTTAGTTGATTAAGATCAAGCTTGGTTTCACTTAATTAACTTAAATATGTTTGCTCATGTGGCAATGCCATGCAGATTTGGCAGATGAGAACTGGACCGAGGCTTCGATCATTTCAGTGTGCCAAAGGAAGCAAACTACTGCAACCTACCTACAGATTTGGATCATCAATAGCCTCTACTTATGCCCCTTTGGAGGTTTTCTTGTTGAACGGTGACTCTGGTCAAATATCAGTTTTAAATCGAACTCTTAATTGAGTGTAAATATCAGAGATGTGTAAATCTTATTGTGTAATGAAATGATGATATTTTTCAAGGAATGAAATCAATTCTACCCATACAGAATCTATGTTTACACAGAAAGCACTTATAGATAACCCAGAGGACATGCACCTTACAAACAATATGATCAGTTTTACACTGCTCAAAAGTTCACATTACAAGATTAATTTAGTGGTCTTTATACTAGAATTGCTAAATTTGAGGGGCTATAATAATTTATTTTATGGTAATTTAATTATGTGCTAGTTTTGTTTGTCTGTTTTAGGTCATTTTTATTTCTGTTGTCCTAATTTATTTTTTCATGTGGTTCTTGCCCTGGAGTATCTCATGAATCAAATCGCCTTTATTAATTGCTTGGAATTGTCCATTCCCCATTGCACCCTGATCTCTGAATCTTTCTTTTCAGGTTAAATTTACAGACTAAAAATAATAGAGAATGTTCGTTGCTATCAATGTATTAAAAGCAACAAAGATAACCCAAAAAAGAGCCACGTGGATAAATTTCTTCTTATGGTATACAATTCTTCATAATAGTATGTACAATATTATTAGTATGTACAATATTTCCAAAGACATTCCAATTGCCCTTGTAGAAAATAAAAATTGAGAAATGTACCTACTTTTATCACAATTTGTTGTTGCCAGGTACTTTTCAGCTGTCCTCGTTCTCCTCTTTTCATTGCCCTATTGAGTAAGGGTCGGTGTTTGCAAAAATGTCGAGCCGACGGGGTCAGGTACCAGTAGTGACAATGGCAAAGGGGGGAGCTGGACACTAGTTGTGCTAGTGGAATGACCCAACTGGACCTAGTCAGCCCGAACCGTTTTGCGGTTCTAGAGGACCCTGAACAATAAGAGGCAAAGATGCCAGATCTGGACACTTCTGAACCGGAAGAGATTGCGCAGGATGAGTGTCTGGGTAACAAAGCCGAGAAGGGTGTAGTCAAGGGGATAACTCCCGAGGAGAGTGATTTGGCCCATAGAAGCGAGGATCTGGAAGAGAGGGTTGATACCGGGTCAACTATGACAGTGACTGAGGGGGACTTGTTCTGTGATAAACAAATGACTCCAAACAAGAACCCCAGGGCAGCCAATCGTAAGAAAAGAGGTGAACCTGAGAAGAGCAGTAAGAGTAAGCGTTCAGGTGCTGGTGCTATGACCTTAAAGGCGGAAGATCCTCCCCTGGTTCTAACCACCCTGAATGAAGAGTGGGCGAACAAAATGCAAACCGGGACAGCAGCAACTTCAAAACTCCTTGCATTTTTTTTCTTTAAGGAAAAAATGTGTCATTTCATATAGCTTCGCTTGAGTAGAGGTTTAAAACCTGACACACCCAAGACTATTTGTGTGTAAACCCCCTCCCCCTATAGCCTCGCTTGTACTCAAGAAATTTTTTTGAAAAAGAATCATTATCATCATCATCACAGAGATTGATAATAACAATCAATGGCTACATTCAATCATTTCCTTTGCTTAGGTTGAAAGCCGGTAACAAACGCAACAATAACTTCAACAGAATTTCTAATTAAAAAGTGGATATTTTAAAATAAAAAAATTATATAGTTAAAATCACCATTGTTTTTCACTCCTAGACACCTAATAAAACAGAAAAATACCACCAAACCAAGGCATCTAAAACAAAGTAAACCACCAAAGCAAAGGTAAACCACCAAGGTTCAACCACCAGTCAGTCACTCATGGCCTCTCTGTTGCCCCTTTTCTTCCTCCTACTCCACCAACCTCTGTTTTCCACAGCCAATGTCCACAAGCTCAACCTCCTCCGATCTGAGCTTCTCTCCCAACCCACACCTCTAAATGACACCCCACCAACTGTATTTTTTGAAGTAACCAAACCCATTGAGGTACCAAAAACCAAGCCTTGTTCCCAGCTCATTCTCCAGCATGACTTTGCCTACACATATGGCCAAGCTCCAGTCTTTGCAAACTACACCCCTCCTTCCCATTGCCCATCTCAAACTTTCTCCACAATTGTCCTTGAATGGAAAGCTACAAGCAGGGGAAGGCAATTTGACCGCATTTTCGGGGTTTGGCTTGGTGGGGTTGAGATTCTCAGGAGCTGCACAGCAGAACCAAGGCCTAATGGGATTGTTTGGGCTGTCGAGAAGGACATCACAAGGTACTATTCACTGCTTAAGAGTAATCAAACACTTGCTGTTTATCTTGGCAATTTGATAGATAAAACCTACACTGGGATTTATCATGTGAATATAAGCATTCATTTTTACCCTGCTGAAGAGAAATTGAATTCTTTTGAGCAAAAGTTGGATAATTTGGCATCTGGGTACCATTCTTGGGCTGATTTGATTTTACCCATTTCGAGAAATCTGCCTTTGAATGATGGGTTATGGTTTGAAGTTCAGAATTCAACTGATACGGAGTTGAAGGAGTTGAAGATTCCACAGAATGCTTATAGGGCTGTGTTGGAGGTGTATGTTTCATTTCATGAGAATGATGAATCTTGGTATTCAAATCTTCCTAATGAGTACATAGCTGCAAACAACCTTAGCGGTACACCTGGAAATGGGCCTTTTAGGGAGGTTGTGGTCAGTCTAGATGGTGAGGTTGTTGGTGCAGTCTGGCCTTTTACTGTGATTTTCACTGGAGGGATCAATCCTCTTTTGTGGAGACCCATTACTGCAATTGGCTCATATGATCTTCCTACTTATGATATTGAAATTACACCATTTTTAGGGAAGATATTAGATGGGGAGAGCCACAAGTTTGGGTTTAATGTTACAAATGCCTTAAATGTTTGGTACATTGATGCAAATTTGCATCTTTGGTTGGACAAACAGAGCACAAAAACTGAAGGAAAGCTTTTGAAACGTAGTAGCTTGCCCTTTGTTGTTTCCCTGGTTTCATATTTCAAGGGTTTAAATGGCACATTTTTGACAAGGACAAGCAGGTCCGTGTCATCAACTGGATGGGTGAAGTCTTCCTATGGGAATATCACAACCCGTTCAATTCAAGACTTCTATTACAGTAATTCAATGGTCCTGGGGAAAGATGGTAATATGCAGATAGTCAACCAGAAGATCATTTTCAATGACTCAGTTCATATTAAGCTGCCATCCTCCTATGTTCACTCACTGACATCACACAAAACATTTCCACTTTATTTGTACACTGACTTCTTAGAACGAGGAAATGGAACTTATTTATTGATTACAAGTGTGGACTTGGGATTTATTGAGAAGAAGTCTGGTTTGGGATTCTCGAACAGCTCTCTCAGAAATCTGCAGAGTGCTGAGGGCAATATGGTTGTGAAAAACAATTTGGTTGTGAGTGGATTGGGGAGTACACAGCAAGTCTACGCATATGATGGTGACAAATTCTGTTACTTGAGAAATATAAGCAGCTCAAACTACACAATACTCTATGACAAGGTGGGGAGCAAATGCAACACAAAATCATTGTCTAATTTGGATTTTGGCATAAGCAGACTGTGGCCTTTTGGTGCTCGAATTTCTGACCTTTTGGTGAGAACAATGACCAAAGTCTAGCTCATTCATATTCATGCATCTTCCTCTTTGGTGGTACCTCAAATAAATATGTAAGTATTATGTACTCAATTTCATTTTGTGGGGGTTCTAGATTGTAGTTAAGGTATCTGCATTAAAAGTGATTCTGGTTTTAATTTGAATTGGAATGATTTCTGAAAAGCGGATCAGATCAGCTTGTGCTAATTTTTCATGCTATATTACCTTGATTTAATGTTCAAGTTTCATATAAACACGCAAATGCAATTAAAATCCAGATAATAATCACCACATTGAAACAAACTCCTTGAGCTAATTTTTGTTCCCGACGAATACTAGTACATGATTAGTCTGAACAAACGATATTTAAAGCCAAAAGTTATTACAAAAAGCAGCAATATTCTGTTGCTGATGTTATTACAAAAAACATCACCACTCATCATTCAATTAAGTGTGAATACCATATTATATATATATATATATTCTTTATCTCTTTCTCTATCTTGGATGTCAAGATGGCGTACGTGAACTAATATCAGGCAACGGGTCGTGTATTACAAACAGCAGGATCAACTTTGCCAGACACAACAGGCTTCACGTTTTTACATCTAAATTGAGTCTCCAAATGGTCATCCCCTACGACGAGAACTCTCATGTCACTAAACTTGATGTCCTTACATGCGCCGGGCGCAGTGCCACACTCAAGAATAACGATACGATTGTCCACGGAGTTGCCCTTAATGTTCTTGAAGCTCACATTTGACACCTTAACTTTGGAGGGGTTTGGCGTTCGGCACTGTTTTGATGGGCAATGCTCCTGGTCTAAGACTATAGCCATGTTCTGAAGATAGTCGAAAATAATGTCCTCAAAAACCAAATTAGAGATGGCTATATTAGCAGTAGAACCCGCCGAACTCTGGATCCTAATTGCACCCTCAGTGTGTGAGAAGGTACAGTTTCTCACCGTCACTCCATTAACCGGCTCCTCTTTGCCAGTGTTGCCTAGGACACTCACACCAAGGCCATTGCCTTGTGAGCAGGTCATTTTTTCGATGTTGATCCCAGTGTTTCCATCTAGGATAGTGACACAGTTGTCGCTAAGGATTTTGATGTCTGTATTGGTGATGTTAATGTTTGTTGACTTTTCGATCAGGATTCCCTCCCCCCCTCGGATGCCGATGGAAACATCGTCCACTGTCACGTTTCTTGAACGGTAAATGCCAATCTGGCCGCCGACACTATTGTTCGATGTTATGCCTTGGATGTGTGAATCCTTAACCATAGAGAAAATTAAATTCTGCATTCAATCAAAGAAGCATTAATTAATCCCGATCGAACAGATCATAACTTCCGTCTTCATTTTGTTTGAAGAAGTTCTGAGTTCAAAACTCATGTACGATAAATAGTTGTTGAATAAACAAACAAAAAAAAATCAAAATTATTGAGAATGGGGATGCTTACTAGAGGCGGTTGTTCGCATTGTTTAGCTTTAGCACAATTGAATTCAGATCCTTGGCCATCAAAAATGCCATCTCCTGAGATGAGCAAGTTGTTAACCTGCGTGAAACTAATCCACGCATTACGGTGCGCACCTCCAGTTACCGACTGCTTTTTTGAAGACTGCACTGTTCCGTCAACCTTAAAGTGAATAGTTTTTGCTTTGCAGGGCCCTGCAAAATCAACTGGACCAACTATATATTTTCCTTTTGGTATCACATATTTGTTATTTTGCCTCTCACTGCAGGCTTGTGTCCATGCTTGTGTGAAAGCCTGAAAATTTAATCACGTAACAAGAAAACATTAGTTTGATGAGAAACATCACATAGCACACTAAATTTTATTCACCGAATGACGCGATAGTATTTGATTGTTCGATGAAAAAACTAAAGTTCATTTTGTTAGAGAAAAATCTGAGTTCTAATATCATGTTGGAGAGTAATTAGTTGTTTGTTACCTTGGTATCATCTGTCTTGCCATCACCCTTGGCTCCAAATTTAACGACATTAACACTGATAGCTTTGGCTTTGATGGCACATATCGCTACCAAGAACAAAAACCAGGTAATTCCATGAATAAATTCTGAACCCATGTTTTAGACTTGTATTTGTCTCTGACAATCTCAATAGTGTTGGATTCAAGATCGGTCTCGAAGGGTGCATTTTATAGTGTCAAAAAGGAAACTCACCACCGCAAAATTGTTAACCAAAATTTATGTGGACTACTTCTAATCTCTTAAGTCCTATTTAGGTGCTGACTTTCTTTTATTTATTTACTTTCCTTTATGTGGATTCAATTTCCTCTAATTTTAGTTGTTATTTCTGCTAATTTAGGCTCCTACTATTCACACGAGAAACATCTGTCTTGCTTCTTTCAAGAAACTACGTTCACGGAATCACGGGGTAAATTTCGTTGACCTCCGGCAAATTCTATGAATAAGAAAGAGTTTTGTTGACCTCCAACAAATTGTTTCAATAACTATCGTCTACAAGATTTGAACTCATAATCTACTTAAACAAAATAAAGACGGTGTGTTAGTAGACCAAATGATCAATGATAATTTATTTCATATTATAATGTTTATTGGTTATTTTTTTATTAGTAATTTATAATATACCTACAACAATAGTTTGCATTCTAATTTTTGTCAGTACTCTTTGATGCACTTACATATATAATAATGTACCTATTATTTTTTATGAATAAAAATCGCCCTATTATTTCTGTTCGTGTCACTACACACATATTTTGATATGGATCTAATTTAATTGTTTATAATGGTGGTTGGAGTAGTGTGGGATGGAGAGAGTATGACATAATTAGTGAATACTTGGTGTGTGAAATAGGAGTAATTTTTGTATGTTTCGGATACTCGTAGGTGAAATAGGCATCTTTTCAAACTTTTGTTTAACTATATATACATGCACCCATACTTTCTCAACAAAAGTGGCTTCACAAAGAATATGACAAAACTGAATTTGGGAGAAGCACGAAACCAAATATCTGATATTCTTAAGATAGTACAGATATATGCCGTGATGTAGCACGTCTGCCTTAATGTATACGTACTTGTGCATGGTTGTTTGTTATCCTTGTTTTTCTTAGCCAAAAAAGGGAAGTAAGCAAATGCAATGACCAGGACAAGGAGCAGGACTTGGCTAGACACAGCAGGCTTCACGTTTTTACATGTAAATTGAGCTTCGAAACCGTCGTCCTTCAACCGTAATTTTCACGTGGATAAACTTGGCATCCTTGCATGCTTCGAGCGCAGTGCCGCACTCAAGAACGATGATATGAGGGTGCACGGACATGCCCTTAGGGTATGTTTGGTACGCTTCACTGGACTGGACTGGACTGGACTAGGCTAAATAGCACTCGAAACCCATGTTTGGTAACAGACGGGACTAACTTAAATGAGACTATATAGTCCAATAGTGAAAAAAAGGCCTCACTCGCCCGTCTAATATAGTGAGCCCGAAAAGTGGTTCACTAAATAGCACGTTCCTAAATAGAACACGCTAGTCCGACTCCTCTCTTTAAAAAATATTAGGATTTTATTTGTTTTCTTTTTATTATTGTTTTAAATTTTTAATTGGGATTTTTAACATTTATTTATTTATTAGGTCAAAATCCGTAATTAAATTTAAATATTACAAGAATTATTTTGATATTGCATTTGACCACATTTGTATTTGGAAAATCAAACTATAATAATTGACAAATGCTTGATATTCTTTTTATATTGAAACAAGTTTAATAATTCATGATGTGCTGCTTTCTTTATCGCAAGCAATTATTACCTTGTTAAATTATATTTTTCAGTTTAAAGTCAAAAGTCAAATATACAAAAATTATACACACATATATATATATTTTAAATTATTTTTTACTTGGTCTTCCATGAAAGACGTAGAATTATATAGAGTGAGTTTAGCTCCTTAGTAATGTTTCGACCAACAAAAAATAGAAGATTTGTAGTAGTCTTGGGGCAAGGCTAAGGAGCAACTAAGAAAAATATCAAAATTTTATTCTTCATAACCAATCATAATTTTATTTGTTTTATTGTTTTAAATCTTTGAATTGTGTTTCTTTGTAGCATTTATTTATTTTTAGGTCAAAATTTCAAATTAAATTTAAATATTACAAGAATTATTTTTTAGTCCGACACAGCACCAAACATAGGTCTTCACTATTTTTACAATCCAGCTTCTTAGTCCGACGCAGCACCAAACGTAGGTCAGTACTTAATCCAGCTTAGTCCAATCCGAGCTAATCCAAGACAGTCTCAGGATTTAGTCCAGTCCATGACAGTCCGCCGTACCAAACGACCCCTTAATGTTCTTGCAACTCACATTTCATACCTTAACTATGGAGGAGGATTTGGCTCGGGGCACTGCTTTGCTTGGCAATGCTCTCGGTCTAAGATTATAGGGATGTTCTGAAGATAGTCCATAACAATGTCCGCAAAAACCAAATTATAGACGGCTACGGCTTGTACAACCTGGGCTATAGCCCATGTGAGTGTTTTTAATTTATTTCTTATAGTTAGTGTTAATGTTAATCCCATTTATAGCAGAAATATTAATTTGATACTAATCTGATAATTGTAGTGTTACCTTTAGTTGCCGTGTGTCTATCTGACTCTATCTTTGTGATGATAAATTTTCATTTTTGAATTTTCTTATGAATTTTCTTTTCTTTGAGATCATTTTTGTTCATCATGGTAGACCTTAGTTGGCATTGTTGGTGTAAAATAGGTCTTTTAAATAAATAAAATAAAAATGATATGTTCTTACATTATATATACTAGCCCCTTGCGTGAGCGTGTGGGCCAATTGGTTTTCTTTTTTTAGTTTTTAGAATTAAGAAAATAAAAAAATGGGTAGTTATTTGCCATAAAAGTAGGATCCATTATCTGATTTTGTTTTTATTTTTAATTTTTTTAATTGTGAATTTACCATATTATCCTCATTTAATTAATAATTTTAATTCTTAATATTTGAATTAACCAATGGCATTTTCTGGTATTTTGAATGTTTTACCATTCTCTGCCTTTTGCTTTATATATATAGATATATGATCAATTTCATAAGCCTAAAATCTAACAGTTCAATAAGGTAAATCTAGCCCACCCCATTTTAAAATCCTGGGTCCGTCCCTGCGGCTATATCAACATTAGAAGCCACCAAACTATGGATCCTATAATAGCACCCTCTGTGTGTTAGAGCAAATCCACCGCTCTACCCTTTGCCCGGGCAAGGGGGGCCTAGGCCCAAAAAGGGCTTCCAGCGAATAAATGTTGCCAGGGCTGTTGGTGGGCTCCACAAGCCTGGGCTGGCCCTCAAGCAAAACCAGCCCTTGTTCTAGCTTGGGTTTGCTGACGTCAGTGATGCCGTCAGCAACCAAAAAAAATTAAAAAAATCTAAAAAAATATTCAGAAATTCAGAATTTTTTTAAAATAAATACTTAGTCATATTTTTCACTTCCCACACCAAAACTCTATACAAATTCCTCTCCTCATATCTCATGTGAATAATGGTTGTCATGACAATGGGTGGAAATACAACAAGCCTTTTGCAAGGACTGCCACTATTCATGTGAATAGTAATAGCCCTTGCCTCCCCTTGCCCTTTGCCATGGTGGAAGTGCTCTTAAAGATCAACACCAGCCCAGCCAAAATAAAGTATCCAGCCCATAGAAGTATTGAAGGGAAAATTTCTATACAACTAGTGAAATGTCAGTTAACAAAAGGGAGATATTACACAGTTGAAGATTATAGAGTTTTCTAGTGCAAAACACAATTATGGGGCTGGAATAGAAGAAAGTCGGCATCCATTTTGAAGAAGAATAGTCTAGAAGGTAAAACAATTATGTAGCTACTATTATATAGCCAAGGCGGTGAGCTATGTCGGCTAGAACAACTATAAATAGGCATGAAGCCATGCATTGTTGAATCAATCAAGAAGTGAAGAGTAAGCAATAAGCTATAGAGCTAAGTAGTCCTTGTGAGAAGTGTGAGTGAAGTGAGAAAGAGTGCTTATAAGAGTTTGTCTTTCCTTTGAGAGTTGTCTTGTTGTAATATTTTGTGAGTCTAATACAAGTAAATTGTTTACTTGTTTTGTCTCCAACAAGTCTACAATAGAGTTGTGTACTCTAAATTTTCTCAACAATTGGTATCAGAGCGGGACGGTCAATGACTGATTCTGCAGGAGCTTCTTTGAGTCGTGAAGAGTTTGTCTCTACAAGTTTGCATCTTTAGATCAAGCTTATTCGGTATTGCCAGAATTCTGCCGACACGATAGGTGATCTTCACGTAGTTGGAGGAATCACGAAACTCAACAACAAAAATTACAATACGTGGGCGACATGTATAAAGTCTTATCTGCAAGGCCAAGATCTTTGGGATGTCGTCGGGGTCAACAGTGTTACACAACCATGAGAAGAGAACAACGACACTTTACATAAGTGGAAGATCAAAGCAGGTAAAGCCATGTTTGCCCTAAAGACAACAATTGAAGAAGAAATGTTATAGCACATAAGGAAAGCCAAAACACCAAAGAAAGCGTGGGACACCTTTGCAACACTCTTTGCAAAAAGGAATGACACAAGACTACAACTTCTTGAGAACGAGCTGCTATCTGTTACACAACGCGACATGACTATTGTTCAATACTTCCACAAGGTAAAGTCCATATGCTGTGAAATTTCTGATTTAGATCCTACTACTGCTATTGTGGAATTTAGGATAAAAAGAATAATTATTCATGGTTCGAGACTCGAATACCGAGGCTTCATTGCCGCTGTACAAGGGTGGCCTACTCAACCATCACTTGTTGAGTTTGAAAATTTGCTTGCCGATCAAGAAGCTATGGCCAAGCAAATGGGAGGGGTCTCATTAAAAGGTGAGGAGGAAGCGCTCTACACCAAAAAAAGTAAAGGCAACATCAAGCAGCACTTTGGTAGTGGATCTAAAAGAGATGGTGACAAGGCAAAAGGTCATCAAGGATAAGGAAGTTCTTGGCTAGGGGGAGCTTCAAAGTTTCACGGCAACCGTGGTTAATCCAAGAATAATAAAAGATTCGAAGGTAAATGCTACAACTGCTGAAAGAAGGGCCACATGGCGAAAGATTGTTGGTCCAACAAAAGGCCCGTTGAGAGTGATACTGCTACTTCCAACTCAAAGGAGAAAAGTGAGGATGATTGGGACGCGGAAGCATCTCTCGTTATAGAGGTAGAGGACATAGCTCTCACAATGATGGCGCCTAAATGGATTAACTACAAGAATGATTGGATCGTCAACTCATGCAACTCAAATCACATGACAGGTGATAAAGAGAAGTTGCAAAACTTGACTAAGTACAAGGGCAATCGTGTGGTAGTGGCAGCCAACAACTCAAGGTTACTAATAACCCACATCAGTAAGACAGTAGTTGTACCACGACACAACCCTAACCAGGTGCCTCTTCAAGATGTCTACCATGTTCCAGGCATGAAGAAGAATCTGCTTTCAGTGGCACAACTGACATCATCAGGCCACTATGTCGTGTTCGATCCAAGAGATGCGAAGGTGTATCGAGACCTCAAGATCTTAGGCATGCCAACAATGGAGGGACGACGATTGGAGTCAGTCTACGTAATGTCAGCAAAGTCTGCATATGTAGACAAGACAAGAAAGAAGGAGACAGCAGACTTATGGCACATGAGATTGGGCCATGTTAGCTATCACAAGCTAAGCGTGATGATGAAGAAGTCAATGCTCAAGGGTCTGCCTCAACTTGACGTGAGAACAAATACGGTCTGTGCATGATGCCAATATGGTAAAGCGCATCAACTACCACATGAGGAGTCCAAGTTCAAAGCAAAAGAACCATTAGAGTTAATCCATTCTGATGTGTTCGGGCCAATGAAGCAACCATCAATAAGCGGGATGCGATACATGGTGACATTCATTGATGACTTCCCCAAGTATGTGTGGGTTTTCTTTATGAAAGAAAAATCTGACACATTTTAAAAGTTTAAAGAGTTTAGAGAGATAGTTGAAGGAGAAGTGGAGAAGAAGATTATATGTCTACACACAGTTAATGGAGGAGAATATACCTCGAATGAATTCTCCTAGTATCTACGAGAGTCTCACATACGTCATCAGTTCACATGTGCCAACACGCCACAACATAATGGAGTAGCGGAGAGAAAGAACTGGCATCTTGCAGAGAGATGTCAAAGCATGTTGCATGGAAAGAATGTGCCTGGAAGGTTTTGGGCTGAAGCCATGAGAACTGCAGCCCATGTGATCAACAAACTTCCTTAACCAAGCTTAGAATTTATTTCGCCCTTCGAGAAACTGTGGGATATGAAACCTACAGTCAGTTACTTTCGAGTATTCGGCTGTGTGTGCTACGTATTTGTTCCAAGTCATCTATGTAGCAAGTTTTACAAAAAGGCAATCAGATGTGTCTTTGCGGGATATGACAGCCAGAGAAAAGGGTGGAAATGTTGTGACCCTACAATTGGAAGGTGCTACACATCATGAGATGTGGTGTTCGATGAAGCATCATCTTGGTGGTCCCCAGAAAATGAGGTGTTACTCTAAATTTTCTCAACACAGTGTGAGAAGATACAATTTCTCACCATCACTCCCATGACCGGCCCCTCTATGTCAGTTTTGCCTCGGACCCTCCCATGCCAAACCCATTGCCGTCGGGGCAGTGCATGTCATTTTTTCAACGTTGATCCCGGTGTTTCAATTTAGGATAGTTACACAGTTGTTGTTCACGACACGACTGTGATGTCAACATTGGTGATGTTAACGTTTGTTGATTCTTGGATTATAATTCCCTCCCCACCAGACTCATGATCTCAACGTCATCCACTGTCACATTCGTGCTCTTGTAACTACCAATGTGGGCTTCGAAGTTATGACTTGGATATGTACATCCTTAACCATAGAAAAAGCTAAATTCAGCATTCTACAGCCTTCTATGAAAGAAGGATTAATCTTGATCAAACAGAAAAAATTGAAATTATATTAAGAATAGAAATGCGTACCAGAAATGGATCTTCGCAGTCAGTTGTAAAATTTCCATCAAATTCTATGTATGTCATGTTACTTTCTTTCTTTCAATAACTATTGTCTACAAGATTTGGACTCATCATTTACATAATAGACGACCTAATATTTAGTCCTCTTACACACGTAAATGGATCTTCGCAGTCAGTTGTAAAATTTCCATCAAATTCTATGTATGTCATGTTACTTTCTTTCTTTCAATAACTATTGCCTAATATTTAGTCCTCTTACACACGCTATTACAATAGGATAAGTAAATGAATAGTTGTGCTTGGTTGTTTGTGAAGGAAGTTGAGGTTCCACCCCAAAATCAATTGGTAATGGGGGAAGTAGCTCAACTCCTTATAAACCCAAGCTTGGTCCCTTAACGTTTCAATGTGGGACAAATACTCTCAACACGCCCCCACACGTGTGGCGAACTTTCAAGCCTAACATGTGAACAACACATATTGGGTTACGTGGGAGCACGTGTGGCCGTTAGGCCCAACATGTGAAGCTTTACTCTGATACCATGAAAAAGCCACCTGTCTTACGACACAACTTTAGTTTTTTTTTCTCTCCCAAAATTTTCTTTCCCATGGCTAATGCTAATGATGCCTCTACTACCACAACCACCACTCCACCTACCCTTTCTTTCATGAACAGACTCACTCCTGCCATGGTTGCTGCTGTCTCCATTAAGTTGGATCGAACCAACTATTCTCTTTAGCTGGCACAATTTCTTCCCATTCTCATATGCTGAGACATTATGGGCTTTGTGGATGGTTCTCATGAATGTCCTCCAAAGCATCTCCCTGGTAGCACAACAGTCAATCCCGCCTACACAACATGGAATCAACACGACCAACTTATCTTAAGTTGGATCAACAACTCCTTATCCCAATCAGTGTTCTCCATAGTTTCACGTAATCAGACTTCTTGCTCCACTTGGCTGGCTCTCGAACATCGATATGCCTCGACATCACAAAATAGGATTTTGCATTTGCGCAATGAGCTGATGCGTACCATGAAAGGAGACTTGTCTGTCTTGGATTATCTTGACAAGATGAATATGATTGCTGACAACCTTGTGCTTGCTGGACAACAGAGCAAAAGTTGGATAATTTGGCATCTGGGTACCATTCTTGGGCTGATTTGATTTTACCCATTTCGAGAAATCTGCCTTTGAATGATGGGTTGTGGTTTGAAGTTCAGAATTCAACTGATACGGAGTTGAAGGAGTTCAAGATTCCACAAAATGCGTATAGGGCTGTGTTGGAGGTGTATGTTTCATTTCATGAGAATGATGAAGTTTGGTATTCAAATCTTCCTAATGAGTACATAGCTGCAAACAACCTTAGCGGTACACCTGGAAATGGGCCTTTTAGGGAGGTTGTGGTCAGTCTAGATGGTGAGGTTGTTGGTGCAGTCTGGCCTTTTACTGTGATTTTCACTGGAGGGATCAATCCTCTTTTGTGGAGACCCATTACTGCAATTGGCTCATACGATCTTCCGACTTATGATATTGAAATTACACCATTTTTAGGGAAGATATTAGATAGGGAGAGCCACAAGTTTGGGTTTAATGTTACAAATGCCTTAAATGTTTGGTACATTGATGCAAATTTGCATCTGTGGTTGGATAAACAGAGCACAAAAACTGAAGGAAAGCTTTTGAAACATAGTAGCTTGCCCGTTGTTGTTTCCCTGGTTTCATATTTCAAGGGTTTAAATGGCACATTTTTGACAAGGACAAGCAGGTCCGTGTCATCAATGTTGAAATGTAAATTGCCTAGCTAATTTCTGATTAGTTGGTAATTTGATTAATCTGTTTTTTAAGCTTCATTAAGAATTGTGTTAGTTAAGTGACTTGTGCTCATATGCCAAGTGTAAGGAGTAGATTAGTCAGTTAGCTTTCAACGACTCTTAGCCTTTGAGCTGCCATGTGTCACATTCACATTGGCTTTTGTAATTGTTGATGTAATGAAAGAATGAGAATGAATACAAAAGGTGTGATCTCTGCAACGTTTTGGAGATTGCATCTGAGATCATTTCCAATTTCTGATTTTCTTCTTAGCTCACTCTCTCCCTCGCTAGAATACTAGCTCCCTTGCCAATCCAAATCTCAACATGGTATCAGAGCCTGGTTGGATCTGGATAGTGGGTGTCAACGCTGTGTGCTGAGCTCGGGAAAATCCAACGAGAAATTTCTGACTCAGTTCATTGATTCCGGTCTCAAATGGCTGGGTCAAGTGGTGGTGATCTTCGTGCTCCAATATTCAATGGTGATAACTATGAATTTTGGAAGATCCGGATGAGGACCATTTTCAAATTGCACGGATTCTGGGATTTAGTGGAAACTGGACTTGGAATCTCATAATCAAAGGGGAAGAAGATTGATGAAGAAGGGTCATCGGCATCGGAGAAAGAATCTCTGTTAATGAAGGATGCTAAAGCTCTTGGTATTATCCAAGGAGCTGTCTCCGATGATATATTTCCCAAAATCTTGAATGAAGAAACCTCAAAGGGAGCTTGGAACATCTTACACCAGGAGTTTCATGGTGACAAGCAAGTCAGATCTATTAAGCTACAGGGTCTGCGTCGAGATTTTGAGTACACAAGGATGAAGGATGATGAAACCTTGTCTGTGTATCTCACTCATTTGCTTGAGTTGGTGAATCAGATGAAGGGGCTTGGGGAAGATCTATCCAAAGGGCGTTTGGTTCAGAAACTGCTCATAAGCTTGACCAAGGAGTTTGATCCAATCTGCTATGTGATTGAGCAAACTAAGGACATTGAGACTATTGAGGTACAAGAAGTGATTGCTGCATTAAGAGGGTTTGCTCAGCGCCTAGATAGGCATGCTGACAATACTACTGAGAAAGCCTTCAGTAGCATGAGTGTGACTCAAAAGGGAGCTCAGTTCAATTCCTCTTCTGGTGACTCTAAGCCAAAGAAGAACTGGAAATCGAAGGGTGGAAAATGGGATTCTAAATCTCAAAACTCTGTCAGTCAAGGAGACAAATCTGAGCAGGCTAAGGAAAAATGTAAACATTGTGATAAACTACACTATGGTGAGTGTTGGTTTAAAGGGAAACCAAAGTGTCATGGCTGCAATCGGTTTGGATATTTCATCAAGGATTGTAATCAAGCAAAGGCAGGGAAGCTTGCTAACTTCGCAAATCAGGTAATAGAACCTGCAACTATGTTTTATGCATGTCACTCTGCTACCATTGGAAAGAATGTGAATATGTGGTATGTTGACAGTGCATGTAGTAATAACATGACCTCCCATGAGTCTTTGCTTGTTGATATTGATAGAAATGTGAAGTGTAGAGTCAAAATGGGTACTGGTGATCTAGTGCAGTCAATAGGCAAAGGTACTTTGGTCACAGAAATGCAGGGTGTGACCAAATACATTAAGGAAGTTATGATTGTTCCTGGTTTGGATGAGAACCTATTAAGTGTAGGTCAAATGGTAGAACATGGATATTGGCTTGTCTTTGGTGATAATATTGTTAATGTGGATAGGCAGATGCAGGATTTGATTGCAAGTATACCAATGAAGGGAAATAGGTGTTTTCCTTTAAGCCTAGAATATGTCAAACCCTCTATGGCTAATAAAGTAACAGTTGAGGAGTCCTCTTGGCTGTGGCATAAAAGGTATGGACATCTAAACTGTACTAGTTTGATGCTCCTGCAAGACAAAGAAATGGTGCAAGGTCTGCCTAGATTACAAGTCACAAAGCATGTGTGCTCTGGTTGTGCTACAGGAAAAGGTCACAGAGAACCTTTTGACAAGGAGAAAGTTTGGAGAGCATCACAGCCCTTAGAACTGATATACTCTGACATCTGTGGTCCAATGCAGATTACTACTCCTGCTGGCAATAGATTCTTTCTCACTTTTATAGATGATTACACTCGGATGTGTTGGGTTTTCTTTCTGCAACATAAGTCACAGGTTCTCAATGTTTTCAAGAAGTTCAAGTCCATGGTTGAGCTTCAAAGTGGTTACAAATTCAAGAAGCTGAGAAGTGACCGAGGTGGTGAATACACATCACTAGAGTTTTTCAAGTTTTGTGACGATGTGGGGATGGAAAGGCAATTAACAGTAGCCTACTCTCCGCAACAAAATGGTGTTGCAGAGAGAAAGAACCGAACTATAGTTGAAATGGCTAGGACAATGTTGGCTGAGAAGAGAATACTTTTGAAATTTTGGGCAGAAGCTGTAAATACAGCTGTGTATCTGCAAAATCGATGTCGAACAATTGCATTGAACAACCTAACACCATTCGAAGCATTTAGTGGAAGAAAACCAGGTGTTAAGTACTTGAGAATCTTTGGTTCTTTGTGTTACATCCACGCTCCTTCACAAAAGAGGCACAAGCTAGAGGAAACCGGTGAGAAGGGAGTATTTGTGGGATATGGCAGTTGTGAAAAAGGGTATAGGGTACTCAACCTGAGAACTCAAAAGATTGAATTATCTAGAAGTGTTATTTTTTATGAGAAAGCACTGTGGGATTGGGAATCAAATAAGGCAGTGCAAGTGGAAGTTACAATCCCTTGGAATGATGAAAGAAGCTCAATGACATCTGAGCTTGATTCGGAAGAAAGTGACCTATCTCAATCTGTGCAATCTCCTCTGAGAACACAATCTGGTCATGACCTGCAAGCATCCATGGAATCAGTCCCAACTGATTCATCAGTTTCAACCTCTAAAATTTATGATCACACTCCAAGGAAATGGAAAAGTTTGACTGATGTGTATGCTCAATGCAAGATGAGCATCATTGAACCTGAAATTTTTGATGAAGCAGTCAAGGATGAAGCTTGGAAAAAGGCTATGACTGAAGAAATATTGATGATAGAGAAGAATTCCACTTGGGAATTGGTTGACAGACCAAGCAAAAAACCAATTGTGGGAGTGAAGTGGATATATAAAACAAAGCTAAACCTTGATGGCTCCATTCAAAAACACAAGGCAAGACTTGTAGCCAAAGGTTACACACAAACCAGGGATTGATTTCAATGAAACCTTTGCTCTAGTAGCAAGGTTAGATACTATTAGAACTCTTATTGCACTAGCTGCACAGAAAGGCTGGAAACTGTGGCAATTGGATGTCAAATCAGCCTTCTTGAATGGCATTCTTGAAGAAGAAGTTTATGTAGATCAACCTGATGGTTTTGTGGTTAAAGGGGCTGAAGACAAGGTGTATAGGTTGAGGAAAGCTCTCTATGGGCTAAAGCAGGCTCCAAGGGCTTGGTACAGTGAAATCGACACTTACTTATCTCAGTGTGGTTTTCACAGAAGTCCAAGTGAAGCAACCCTTTATGTGAGAGCCAAAGAAGGTGTTGGCATACTAATCGTGTTAATCTATGTAGATGACATAGTGTATACTGGAAGCAGTGATGAAATGGTAAAAGAATTCAAGGCTGAGATGATGTGCAAGTATGAAATGTCTGACTTAGGGCTGCTCCATCATTTTCTTGGAATGGGAGTAACTCAAACTGAAGGGAGCATCTTTATCCATCAAAAGAAGTATGCTCTCACTCTCTTGGATAAATTTGGGCTCAAAGACTGCAAATCTGTGAGCACTCCTTTAGTTGCTACTGATAAGTTGCAAAGAGAAGATGGAAGTGAGGCTGTAGATGAAGGTTTATACAGGAAGATTGTTGGAAGTCTTCTATATCTAACTGCAACCAGACCAGACATCATGTTTCCTACTAGTCTGCTTGCAAGATTCATGCACAACCCTTCTAAGAAACATTATGGAGTTGCTAAAAGGGTTCTAAGATACATTCAAGGAAGCATTGATTTTGGAATTGAATATGTGACTGGAAAATCTGCTTTGTTGATTGGATATTGTGACAGTGACTGGAGTGGATCTGAGGAAGATATGAAAAGCACTTCAGGTTATGCATTTTCATTTGGGAGTGGAGCATTCTCTTGGGCTTCAGTTAAGCAGCATAGTGTGGCTCTCTCAACAGCAGAAGCAGAGTATGTGAGTGCAGCAGAAGCTACATCACAGGCCATTTGGCTCAGATTTGTTCTTGAAGATTTTGGAGAAGAACAAACTGCTGCAACTACTGTATTTTGAGATAACACTTCAGCCATAGCATAGCTAAAAATCATGTGTTTCATCAAAGGAGCAAGCACATTTACAAGAAGTTTCATTTTATTAGAGATGCAATTCAAAAGGGTGTGATTGAATTGCTCTACTGCAAAGGTGAAGAGCAGATAGCTGACATCTTCACCAAAGCTCTTCCCAAGGACAGATTCAGCTATTTGAGGAGTATGCTTGGTGTGAAATTAGCTAGCACTTTAGAAGGGAGTGTTGAAATGTAAATTGCCTAGCTAATTTTTGATTAGTTGGTAATTTGATTAATCTGTTTTTTAAGCTTCCTTAAGAATTGTGTTAGTTAAGCGACTTGTGCTCATATGCCAAGTGTAAGGAGTAGATTAGTCAGTTAGCTTTCAACGGCTCTTAGCCTTTGAGCTGCCATGTGTCACATTCACATTGGCTTTTGTAATTGCTGATGTAATGAAAGAATGAGAATGAATACAAAAAGTGTGATCTCTGCAACGTTTTGGAGATTGCATCTGAGATCATTTCCAATTTCTGACTTTCTTCTTAGCTCACTCTCTCCCTCTCTAGAATACTAGCTCCCTTGCCAATCCAAATCTCAACAATCAACTGGATGGGTGAAGTCTTCCTATGGGAATATCACAACCCGTTCAATTCAAGACTTCTATTACAGTAATTCAATGGTCCTGGGGAAAGATGGTAATATGCAGATAGTCAACCAGAAGATCATTTTCAATGACTCAGTTCATATTAAGCTGCCATCCTCCTATGTTCACTCACTGACATCACACAAAACATTTCCACTTTATTTGTACACTGACTTCTTAGAACGAGGAAATGGAACTTATTTATTGATTACAAGTGTGGACTTGGGATTTATTGAGAAGAAGTCTGGTTTGGGATTCTCGAACAGCTCTCTCAGAAATCTGCAGAATGCTGAGGGCAATATGGTTGTGAAAAACAATTTGGTTGTGAGTGGATTGGGGAGCACACAGCAAGTCTACGCATACGATGGTGGCAAATTCTGTTACTTCAGAAATATAAGCAGCTCAAACTACACAATACTCTATGACAAGGTGGGGAGCAAATGCAACACAAAATCATTGTCTAATCTGAAAAGCGAATCAGATCAGCTTGTGCTAATTTTTCATGCTATATTACCTTGATTTAATGTTCAAGTTTCATATAAACACGCAAATGCAATTAAAATCCAGATAATAATCACCACATTGAAACAAACTCCTTGAGCTAATTTTTGTTCCCGACGAATACTAGTACATGATTAGTCTGAACAAACGATATTTAAAGCCAAAAGTTATTACAAAAAGCAGCAATATTCTGTTGCTGATGTTATTACAAAAAACATCACCACTCATCATTCAATTAAGTGTGAATACCATATTATATATATATATATATATATATTCTTTATCTCTTTCTCTATCTTGGATGTCAAGATGGCTCTCTCTTTATTCAAGAGATAGATGGCAGCTAGCAGCCATTGTTCACTTGCTTTGTGAGCTGCCAAAACAGGTGTCTAAAGTTGGATAACTACAGCAAGAACGTGCAGAACATAATGATACCTTATCTTGGAGTCCAAAGGCTTATATAAGAGGGAAGAGGAAGCAAGAGAACATTAAGTTGTTAAGTGCATAAGTTTGTGCAAAGTATAGAGAGTTGAAAAGAATCTGGAAACTTGTAAGTTCAGAAAATACCAAGGGGAGAGCAAGATAGTTCTCTAAGTGTATCAAGGTGTTGAGCAAGGGTGAGAGAGAAACAGATTGTGAGGGTAGAGTTCCCGCATATGATGGTGGCAAATTCTGTTACTTGAGAAATATAAGCAGCTCAAACTACACAATACTCTATGACAAGGTGGGGAGCAAATGCAACAAAAAATCGTTGTCTAATTTGGATTTTGGCTTAAGCAGACTGTGGCCTTTTGGTGCTCGAATTTCTGGCCTTTTGGTGAGAACAATTACCAAAGTCTAGCTCGTTCATATTCATGCATCTTCCTGTTTGGTGGTACCTCAAATAAATATGTAAGTATTATGTACTCAATTTCATTTTGTGGGGGTTCTAGATTGTAGTTAAGGTATCTGCATTAAAAGTGATTCTGGTTTTAATTTGAATTGGAATGATTTCTGAAAAGCGGATCAGATCAGCTTGTGCTAATTTTTCATGCTATATTACCTTGATTTAATGTTCAAGTTTCATATAAACACGCAAATGCAATTAAAATCCAGATAATAATCACCACATTGAAACAAACTCCTTCAGCTAATTTTTGTTCCCGACGAATACTAGTACATGATTAGTCTGAACAAACGATATTTAAAGCCAAAAGTTATTACAAAAAGCAGCAATATTCTGTTGCTGATGTTATTACAAAAAACATCACCACTCATCATTCAATTAAGTGTGAATACCATATTATATATATATATATATTCTTTATCTCTTTCTCTATCTTGGATGTCAAGATGGCGTACGTGAACTAATATCAGGCAACGGGTCGTGTATTACAAACAGCAGGATCAACTTTGCCAGACACAACAGGCTTCACGTTTTTACATCTAAATTGAGTCTCCAAATGGTCATCCCCTACGACGAGAACTCTCATGTCACTAAACTTGATGTCCTTACATGCGCCGGGCGCAGTGCCACACTCAAGAATAACGATACGATTGTCCACGGAGTTGCCCTTAATGTTCTTGAAGCTCACATTTGACACCTTAACTTTGGAGGGGTTTGGCGTTCGGCACTGTTTTGATGGGCAATGCTCCTGGTCTAAGACTATAGCCATGTTCTGAAGATAGTCGAAAATAATGTCCTCAAAAACCAAATTAGAGATGGCTATATTAGCAGTAGAACCCGCCGAACTCTGGATCCTAATTGCACCCTCAGTGTGTGAGAAGGTACAGTTTCTCACCGTCACTCCATTAACCGGCTCCTCTTTGCCAGTGTTGCCTAGGACACTCACACCAAGGCCATTGCCTTGTGAGCAGGTCATTTTTTCGATGTTGATCCCAGTGTTTCCATCTAGGATAGTGACACAGTTGTCGCTAAGGATTTTGATGTCTGTATTGGTGATGTTAATGTTTGTTGACTTTTCGATCAGGATTCCCTCCCCCCCTCGGATGCCGATGGAAACATCGTCCACTGTCACGTTTCTTGAACGGTAAATGCCAATCTGGCCGCCGACACTATTGTTCGATGTTATGCCTTGGATGTGTGAATCCTTAACCATAGAGAAAATTAAATTCTGCATTCAATCAAAGAAGCATTAATTAATCCCGATCGAACAGATCATAACTTCCGTCTTCATTTTGTTTGAAGAAGTTCTGAGTTCAAAACTCATGTACGATAAATAGTTGTTGAATAAACAAACAAAAAAAAATCAAAATTATTGAGAATGGGGATGCTTACTAGAGGCGGTTGTTCGCATTGTTTAGCTTTAGCACAATTGAATTCAGATCCTTGGCCATCAAAAATGCCATCTCCTGAGATGAGCAAGTTGTTAACCTGCGTGAAACTAATCCACGCATTACGGTGCGCACCTCCAGTTACCGACTGCTTTTTTGAAGACTGCACTGTTCCGTCAACCTTAAAGTGAATAGTTTTTGCTTTGCAGGGCCCTGCAAAATCAACTGGACCAACTATATATTTTCCTTTTGGTATCACATATTTGTTATTTTGCCTCTCACTGCAGGCTTGTGTCCATGCTTGTGTGAAAGCCTGAAAATTTAATCACGTAACAAGAAAACATTAGTTTGATGAGAAACATCACATAGCACACTAAATTTTATTCACCGAATGACGCGATAGTATTTGATTGTTCGATGAAAAAACTAAAGTTCATTTTGTTAGAGAAAAATCTGAGTTCTAATATCATGTTGGAGAGTAATTAGTTGTTTGTTACCTTGGTATCATCTGTCTTGCCATCACCCTTGGCTCCAAATTTAACGACATTAACACTGATAGCTTTGGCTTTGATGGCACATATCGCTACCAAGAACAAAAACCAGGTAATTCCATGAATAAATTCTGAACCCATGTTTTAGACTTGTATTTGTCTCTGACAATCTCAATAGTGTTGGATTCAAGATCGGTCTCAAGGGGTTTCCTTCTTTGTAAACCAAAGTTGTAACCTATCTTCATTAGTGAAAGTTCTCAAGGAGATCACCAAAGAGGAAGTAGGCAATTTGCTGAACCTCTACAAACACTTGTGTCATTTCTATTTTGGTTAAATTTCTGTGTGTGTGTAAGACTCATAGTTTGTCACAAAGTTCATCAACAACAAGGTCCTAAGGGGAAGTGAGTTAGTATTAATTCACAACAGCATCTTCCTGTTTGGTGGTACCTCAAATAAATATGTAAGTATTATGTACTCAATTTCATTTTGTGGGGGTTCTAGATTGTAGTTAAGGTATCTGCATTAAAAGTGATTCTGGTTTTAATTTGAATTGGAATGATTTCTGAAAAGCGGATCAGATCAGCTTGTGCTAATTTTTCATGCTATATTACCTTGATTTAATGTTCAAGTTTCATATAAACACGCAAATGCAATTAAAATCCAGATAATAATCACCACATTGAAACAAACTCCTTGAGCTAATTTTTGTTCCCGACGAATACTAGTACATGATTAGTCTGAACAAACGATATTTAAAGCCAAAAGTTATTACAAAAAGCAGCAATATTCTGTTGCTGATGTTATTACAAAAAACATCACCACTCATCATTCAATTAAGTGTGAATACCATATTATATATATATATATATTCTTTATCTCTTTCTCTATCTTGGATGTCAAGATGGCGTACGTGAACTAATATCAGGCAACGGGTCGTGTATTACAAACAGCAGGATCAACTTTGCCAGACACAACAGGCTTCACGTTTTTACATCTAAATTGAGTCTCCAAATGGTCATCCCCTACGACGAGAACTCTCATGTCACTAAACTTGATGTCCTTACATGCGCCGGGCGCAGTGCCACACTCAAGAATAACGATACGATTGTCCACGGAGTTGCCCTTAATGTTCTTGAAGCTCACATTTGACACCTTAACTTTGGAGGGGTTTGGCGTTCGGCACTGTTTTGATGGGCAATGCTCCTGGTCTAAGACTATAGCCATGTTCTGAAGATAGTCGAAAATAATGTCCTCAAAAACCAAATTAGAGATGGCTATATTAGCAGTAGAACCCGCCGAACTCTGGATCCTAATTGCACCCTCAGTGTGTGAGAAGGTACAGTTTCTCACCGTCACTCCATTAACCGGCTCCTCTTTGCCAGTGTTGCCTAGGACACTCACACCAAGGCCATTGCCTTGTGAGCAGGTCATTTTTTCGATGTTGATCCCAGTGTTTCCATCTAGGATAGTGACACAGTTGTCGCTAAGGATTTTGATGTCTGTATTGGTGATGTTAATGTTTGTTGACTTTTCGATCAGGATTCCCTCCCCCCCTCGGATGCCGATGGAAACATCGTCCACTGTCACGTTTCTTGAACGGTAAATGCCAATCTGGCCGCCGACACTATTGTTCGATGTTATGCCTTGGATGTGTGAATCCTTAACCATAGAGAAAATTAAATTCTGCATTCAATCAAAGAAGCATTAATTAATCCCGATCGAACAGATCATAACTTCCGTCTTCATTTTGTTTGAAGAAGTTCTGAGTTCAAAACTCATGTACGATAAATAGTTGTTGAATAAACAAACAAAAAAAAATCAAAATTATTGAGAATGGGGATGCTTACTAGAGGCGGTTGTTCGCATTGTTTAGCTTTAGCACAATTGAATTCAGATCCTTGGCCATCAAAAATGCCATCTCCTGAGATGAGCAAGTTGTTAACCTGCGTGAAACTAATCCACGCATTACGGTGCGCACCTCCAGTTACCGACTGCTTTTTTGAAGACTGCACTGTTCCGTCAACCTTAAAGTGAATAGTTTTTGCTTTGCAGGGCCCTGCAAAATCAACTGGACCAACTATATATTTTCCTTTTGGTATCACATATTCGTTATTTTGCCTCTCACTGCAGGCTTGTGTCCATGCTTGTGTGAAAGCCTGAAAATTTAGTCACGTAACAAGAAAACATTAGTTTGATGAGAAACATCACATAGCACACTAAATTTTATTCACCGAATGACGCGATAGTATTTGATTGTTCGATGAAAAAACTATAAAGTTCATTTTTTTAGAGAAAAATCTGAGTTCTAATATCATGTTGGAGAGTAATTAGTTGTTTGTTACCTTGGTATCATCTGTCTTGCCATCACCCTTGGCTCCAAATTTAACGACATTAACACTGATAGCTTTGGCTTTGATGGCACATATCGCTACCAAGAACAAAAACCAGGTAATTCCATGAATAAATTCTGAACCCATGTTTTAGCCTTGTATTTGTCTCTGACAATCTCAATAGTGTTGGATTCAAGATCGGTCTCAAAGGGTGCATTTTATAGTGTCAAAAAGGACACTCACCACCGCAAAATTGTGAACCAAAATTTATGTGGACTACTTCTAATCTCTTAAGTCCTATTTAGGTGCTGACTTTCTTTTATTTATTTACTTTCCATTATGTGGATTCAATTTCCTCTAATTTTAGTTGTTATTTCTGCTAATTTAGGCTCCTACTATTCACACAAGAAACATCTATCTTGCTTCTTTCAAGAAACTACGTTCACGGGGTAAATTTCGTTGACCTCCAGCAAATTCTATGAATAAGAAAGAGTTTTGTTGACCTCCAACAAATTGTTTCAATAACTATCGTCTACAAAATTTGAACTCATAATCTACTTAAACAAAATAGAGACGGTGTGTTAGTAGACCAAATGATCAATGATAATTTATTTCATATTATAATGTTTATTGGTTTTTTTTTTATTAGTAATTTATAATATACCTACAACAATAGTTTGCATTCTAATTTTTGTCAATACTCTTTGATGCACTTACATATATAATGATGTACCTATTATTTTTTATTAATAAAAATCACCTTATTGTTTCTGTTCGCGTCACTACACACATATTTTGATATTGATCTAATTTAATTGTTTATAATGGTGGTTGGAGTAGTGTGGGACGGAGAGAGTATGAAATAATTAGTGAATACTT